GCCGTATTGGGTCAGACCAAAGGTCCATCTAGCCCAGTATCCTGTCTACCGACAGTGGCCAGCACCAGGTGCCCCAGAGAGGATAGACCGAAGACAATGATCAAGCGATTTGTCTCCTGCCATCCCTCTCCAGCCTCTGACAGACAGAGGCCAAGGACACCATTTTATCCCCTGGCTAATAGCCTTTTATGGACCTAACCTCCATGAAATTATCTAGCTTCTCTTTAAACTCTGTTATAGTCCTAGCCTTCACAGCCTCCTCTGGCAAGGAGTTCCACAGGTTGACTACACGCTGTGTGAAGAAGAACTTTCTTTTATTAGTTTTAAACCTGCTACCCATTAATTTCATTTGGTGTCCTCTAGTTCTTCTATTATGGGAACTAATAAATAACTTTTCTTTATCAGCCCTCTCCACACCACTCATGATTTTATAGACCTATAGAAGCCCCGCCCCTTCCAAGACACAGAGCCAGCTTCACCCACACACACCTTGCCTGGGGGCCCGTGAAAGCTGTCAGCCCCTCTGGGGGCTAACTGATCACCATATTTGGGTCAGGAAGGAAATGTTTCACTTTAAAACATGCTTAATCTGGTTTAACTGAATTTCATATTCTGCAGGCATTGTGCACCAACATCGCTTGGACCGAAAGCAGGCGATTTGGTGCAGCTCTCAGGTAACACCATAAATATTTTCTTTTTTCCATCACTTTACTGTCTTTATTTAGGCAGGTGATGGATTTGTAAACTTGGACATTTTAATGAGTGTTTCTCACTCCGATTCAGGAAAACACTGATTTGTTATTGTAGGGCTGCAAGAGGGCTGGAATGGATGCAAAGGTTTGTTAGCGCTGGGTTGTTTGAAGTGGTCTCTTAGGATACATCTACACAGCAACGTTATTTCAGAATAACTGTCGTTATTTCAAAATAACATAGGGTGGGTACATCTAAACTACATAGCTCCGTCAACGGAGCCATGTAGATTAGTGTATTCGAAAAAAGGAAATGAAGCGGCAATTTAAAGGATCTGCCGACGAAGGGTTCTGGGGTCGGCAGATCCCTGTCTAGACTGCCGCCGCGCGCAGCGGCCATTTTGATTTAAATGAAGTGGCGAATATTTAAATCACCGCTTCATTTCCCTTTGCCATCCTGCCTAATCTACATGGCTCCGTCGACGGAGCCATGTAGTTTAGACACACCCTGTGTGTCTACACAGCGAGCCATTTTTTCGAAATAAAGTCGAGCTGGAGGATTTCGTACTCCGAATCCTATAACTCTCATTTCACGAGGAGTAAGGGAAGTTGAAGGAAGAGTATTCTTCCTTCGACTTCCTGTTGTATGGACAGCGCCAAAAACCGAGTTAAGCTATTTCGACTTCAACTACGCAATTGATGTAGCTGAAGTTGTGTATCTTAATTCAGCTTTTGCCCTGCAGTGTAGACGTATCCTTAGTGCAGAGTCATTCCGGAGTGCTTGGCTGATGCGTAATTTTGATGTAGCCTGGGCTGAGTTCATTATTATTGTAGGGTTGCTCAACCGCACAGGGCTGCACCCAGCTTTGTTCCTATAGGCTGACACAGACTCAGGGCTGCCCCCTGGTTTGTTATTGTAGGGTTGCTCATGAGGCGTGCACTGCACATCTGTAACACCCTGACCATGCCAGAGCCCTAACTGTCTGTGCTCGGGGCTTTCTTCGGGTCTTTAAAACGGGAGGAAATATACAGACGACATGAATTTCGGACCCAATTCTGTACCCCCGATGCCTATAACGAAATGGGGCTCCTCATGAGAGTAGGGGTGGGCACAGCTGAGCTGCTTAAAGCTGAGTGATTCTTTTCCATCACAGAATAACAGTTCTTTGATCTTCCTGGTTTAACTGGCATTGTTAATACCCTCTGGATGAGGGGCGAATTAAGAAAGGGCTGATCTGGGACACTGTACTTGCCCACAAAGGGGCGTGCTGGCTCAGACTGGAACAGTATCTGCCCCCTACTGTTATTCACAACAGAATTCCAACCTACTGCCGCCGTCCCGCTGGCAAGTGAGATCCTACGGGCAAGTCAAAGCCAAATTCTTTGACTCCCTTTTTCTGGAAATCTCGACATGAAATCCCAGAGAGGGACTTGTCCCTTCCCCCACTGCCCTTCCCCTCTGCTTTTTCAGTGTAATCATCCTTCACGTTCAAGATGGGCGAGTCCTTTCCAGGGAGACTTAATGATCAAACCAAACCCCGAGCGCTGTTCTTTGAAAATCGTCTTGCAGTCGGTGTACCCAAGTGCCGAGCATTCTGGGCACGATGTGCAATACAAACCACTGCCGCTCAGGGCTTAGCATCTTCAGTCACAATCCAGAAAACAGCCTCATCTCCCGGGGCAAAGCGTCCGTCGGATCACCGCCCTTGCTGCCTAATCTGCTTATCATTACTTACTCCACTCACATAGGGTACGTCTACACTACAGCGCTAGTTCGAACTAACTTAGTTCGAATTAGTTAATTCGAACTAAGCTAGTTCGAACTAACGCATCTAGAACTAAAAACTAGTTCGAACTAGCGTTTTGCTAGTTCAAACTAGTAAGTCCACATTGAGTGGACTCTGAACAGGGCTTAAGGATGGCCGGAAGCAGTGCCGGCAGGGCATAAAAGGAGGACTTAGAGCATGGAGATACTGTCTCAGGCTAGCCGAGGGCTGCGCTTAAAGGGTCCCGACCCCCACCCCGGACACACAGTTCTAAGGGGTGCCCCGCTTGCAAAGAAGTTCTGGCTTGGAGTGCCCTGAGTGCCCACACTGGGCACATCACACCACTCGGCCATCAGCCCGGCTGCACTTGCCGCAGGCTGCCATCTGGGGAGAGGGAGTAATTGGGGGGCTGCAGGAGAGCTTCCACCCCCAGAAGCCCGCAGAGCCAGCCCAGTCCTCCCCATCGGGGGCTCGTACCCCATTCCTCCCTCACCTCCTTCCACTTGCCCTTCCCTAGCCCCCCTTCTTCTTGATGTACAAAATAAAGATAACGTTTCTTCCAACATTGACTCTGTCTTTATTGAAAAAAACTGGGGGAGACTGGGAAAAGGAGGTGGGAGAGGGGAAGAGAAAGGCTGGGAGAGGGGAGGGCAACTAACATGATCAGGGGTTGGGAACAGGTCCCAGATGAAGAGAGGCTACAGAGACTGGGACTGTTCAGCTTAGAAAAGAGGAGACGGAGGGGGGACAGGATAGAGGTCTCTAAAAGCAGGGGTTGGGTGGAGAGGGTGCATTCAGAAAAGTTCTTCATGAGTTCCCATAAAGAAGGACTAGAGGACACCAAAGGAAAGGAATGGGTAGCAGGCTTGAAACTAGTAAGAGAAAGTTGTTCTTGACAAAGCAAATAGTTAACCTGTGGAACTCCTTGCTGCAGGAGGCTGTGAAGGCTACAACTAGAACAGAGTTTAAAGGGAAGTGAGATCAAGTCATGGAGGTTGGGTCCAGGCCTGATTCTCCACAGCCTTCTTTGGACTGTTTACCCCATGGGGAGCAGCTGTTGGCCATTACTAGCCTTGTTTGCATGCACATTGCACACGTGCAAATGGGGAATCAGTCCTGAAATCCCCCACGGCAGCTGGGCGGCAGCAGTAGGTTGGAATTCAGTTGTGAACAACAGTAGGGGGCAGACACCCTTCCAGTCTGAGCCAGCACGCCCCCTTGTGGGTGGGCGCAGTGTTGCAGAAGAGCCCTTCCTTAATGTGTCCCTTATCCAGGGTCTCAACACATCCAAACAGGCCGTTACGCGCTAGAGAGCCCCTCCTGGTAGAGAGTCTATTGGTACCAGTCTGCCCTGGCTGCTTGACCTCTTACACCTACCGGGGTAACATCCTTCTTAGGATTCTCAGATCTGGGGAGGTCTGCAGGCTGACACTGCTTCTGGGACTGCCGTGGATCCTTGCCTGGCCGGCTTTCAGCCAACAGCTGGGGGATGAGTGGCTAGGAGGCTGCCTTCTCCAGGCGCTCCTCTTACAGGCTTCCCCAAAGAATTCCCAGCGAAGGCTCCCCATTCTGCCTCACGCTTCCCAGGCTCGGGAACCCCCGTCTCTCTTTGGAGTTCGGGCTAACTGAGCTCGGGTAACTTTTCTGAGGCCCAGGTGGTTCTTTAGCAACCAGCCTCCTGGGACAGTCAGGCTACGTCTACACCGCACAGTTATCTGGAAATAAGCTGCTCCGGAAGTTATTCCAAAATAGCTTATTTCAAAATATCACGTCAACACTGCAGAGAAGCCTCAACACTTAGTCTGAGCCCAGCTTCCCTAATGTTGACGTGCTATCTCGATTTAGAGCCCCACGAGGAATAGCTTAGGATGGCTTTGGTGAGGGACTATTTCGAAAGAGCAGCAGTGGAGCGTCTACACACGCCTTATTTCCAAAGAGCTATTTCGGAACAGGCATTATTCTTTGTAGAATGAGGTTTACAGACATCGGAATAAGCCGCCCGTTATTTTGAAACTATTTCGAAATAATGGAATTGCTGTGTAGACGCTCGCCTAGTTATTTGGGATGAACAGCTGTTATTCCGAAATAACTTTGCTGTGTAGACACACCCTTAGTTACCCCCAGACGGGGCCTTCATAAGGCAGTCATGTGCAGACGGGAGAGCAGCTGCCCCCCCGTTCATACAGAGCTTTCAGCGTGATGTAGAGACTCAGTGAAATCCACAAGGACCATGGGTCTGCAATGCTTCTTCAGCTCAACACCCCAACCAGAGACCGTTTGGACAGGTTGGATCCAGCATACGATGTGAAGTGTCTCCGGATTGGTACCTTCTGGAGCAAATTCCAGCACAGACAGTTCTATTAATCACAGGGGGATATGATTTTATTTGAAATTTTCCATGCACTTCCGAAATTACCCCGTTTCATCCATCAAAGGTTTGCCGGAGACATCTGTAAACGCTGATTTATTGCACTGTTCCAGGCTATGAATTAAACAGCATTATAGTCAAAGCTATTGGCTTAATTGACGGGCAGGAATTTAATCAAGTTAATGTTGTAGCCAATTCCAAAGCTGCCATTAACCCCTTGCTGAATGTTCAAGAGTTTCCAGGCAATGTCTTAAAAGCTCAGAGCCTCATTCTGCCTGGGAAGTGCTGTGTTCTAGCAAAGGTCCTGGCAGCTGAAGCCTTATTCCCAGCCAAAGAGGCTCTAGATTTGAGCTCAGATCTGTCTGGGAGAAGGAGCGTTGCAGGCCCAGGGCCCTTGTGGATTTTCTAGGGAGTGAGTTTCAGCAGCAGAAAGTCGCAACAGCTCCAAACTACCCAGCTGTGGTGGCCCTTTCACCTCAAATGCAATGTGTTTTGGCGCAAGAGAGCGTCCACACTGCATGGACACTCTTGCGCAAGAAAGCTCTGATGGCCGTTCACGGAATGGCCATCAGAGCACCTGTGCTTTTTGTGATAGGGGTTTCTTGTGCAAAAACCCCTGCGGAGCATCCACACATGCCTTTTTGCACAAGAGCTGTAGTGCAAAAAGGAGTTTTTCCTCGTGGGGAGAGGAATCACTCTACTGGAAAATGCCCTCTGACCTGCCAATTTTACTGTATTATTATTTTTTTTTTTTGCACAAAAACGCACTTGAGGTATGGACACTCCACTGGTTTTTGTGCAAGTTTTCGCACAAAAACCTTGTAATGTAGACATAGCTTATGTGTGTGTGTCACTTGCAATGCTGGTAGGGGAAACACTAGGGCTACGTCTAGACTGGCATGATTTTCCGGAAATGCTTTTAACGGAAAAGTTTTCCGTTAAAAGCATTTTCGGAAAAGAGCGTCTAGATTGGCACGGACACTTTTCCGTAAAAGCACTTTTCGCGGAAAAGCGTCCATGCCAATCTAGACGCACTTTTCCGAAAAAAGCTCTGATCGCCATTTTTTGCGATCGGGACTTTTTTGCGAAAAACAGATCTCAGCTGTCTACACTGGCCCTTTTGCGCAAAAGTTTTGCGCAAAAGGACTTTTGCCTGAACGGGAGCAACACAGTATTTCCGCAAGAAGCACTGATTTCTTACAGTAGGAAGTCAGTGCTTTTGCGGAAATTCAAGCAGCCAATGCAGACAGCTGGCAAGTTTTTCCGGAAAAGCGGCTCATTTTCCGGAAAAACTGGCCAGTCTAGACACAGATCAGGGAGGATAGATCCATCAGTGGCTGTTGGTCGAAGTGGGTGGGGATGTGTCCCTACTCTGTTTGTCAAGGGCTGGGAGTGGGAGACAGAGAATGGATCATTTGATGGCTCCCTGCTCTGTTCATTCCCTCTGGGGCACCTGGTGTTGGTCACTGTCAGGAGAGAAGGTGCAGGGCGGGATGGACCTTTGGTTTGACCCAGCGTGGTCAGTCTGATGTTCCCATCCCTCCTGTCCCACTCCCCTAGCCCCCTACTCTTGCCCACCCACCCAAAGTTGGGGTTCACCCAAGGGGGCCCTTCTGGCTATGCCAGCTCGTTATGCCAGCAAATACAACCACCTAGAAAAGCCATTACCCTCTCTGCCATGGGCATTAGCCTTGGCTGCACTGCCTTTGGTTCTGCGGGGCATGACACACGTACCTTCATGCGGAGCCGAGCCTGGCGGCTGTGCCAAGAGGACTGCTAGTGTAAGGATGCTGGCACATGACACTCTCATCTTCCTAGGACAGACTCTCCTCTCAGGTCACCAGAGCGACTGCAGAAACCGAACGTCGATGGGTCTGGAAGAGAAACCAAGGCTTCATGCAAATGTAGCGATGGTGAAGAGGAAATCATTTACTATCCCACAGGGCAATGGGGCTGTCTGAGCTTCCTTCCAGCCTCGGTCTTTACTTAGCCAGACTGCCACTAAGAACCAGTCTTGGTGGTCTCTTAATTTCTGGCCTCCTGTTGAGACAGCCAATGAATACCTGTCCCCCAAGGAAAGGGGAGGAGAATGACCAACTCTCATCACTTGATCTTTCACACAACACAAAGGCAACCTGTGGAACTCCTTGCCAGAGGATGTTGTGATGACCAGAAGTTGAACAGCCACCAGATTTAACCCCCCTGAGAGAAACATTTTCAGAAGCCTCTACTAAATTTTGGAGACCTAACTGGAGAGCCCTCTCTGGGTCCTCATTTTCAGAGGTCCCGAGCAATTGCAGGTCCTGGAGGGACAGAAAACCTGCTTCAGCCTAGGGCACAACCAAATCACTAACTAATGGGGTTAAGAAATGTTTCCTTTATAGGATGCTACACAATTCAAGCCTTCCTCAGAGACATGTAGTGCTGGCCACTGTCAGGGACAGGACGCTGGTCTTGGTGGACCTCACATCTGATCCATAATGACAGCCCCTATGTAACGTTAATTAACAACCTTCTCCGAGAAGAGAATGTAACATGTGCTTAAGAAAGGGGGGTTAGAACATTCTACAAACCTCTTCTGCCACCCTCGCTACAGCCGTCGCTCTAATAGGAAGGAGAGGCCTCGGCATCTTCAAAGCCCCAAAAATCAACGTGAGAGCCTTGCATACAGCAGCCTGCCACACGTCATGCTCAGCTTCTCATTAGACTATTTTACAGCTAACCCCTGGGTTCCTCGAGCTAGTGGCTCTAATGAGCAGCTTTGCACACAGCTGCAAGTTTCCCTTGTCATTGTGCAGTGGGCCTGGAAAACATTTGTTCCTGTCCGTGTGTGACATCCCGAATCCGCAACAAACACTGATGGCTCATTAAGGCTACAGGATCCTCGCTCTAAGTAGCAATAGGCGCAGTATTGCCAAAATGGGTTTTATTCTTTCTTAAAGGACTATAGGAGAGCGTCTCCTATTCTAAGCTTCTCCTCTTTAGCCCAGACTGAATAGACTCTACAGGTGACATACAGGGAACTTCCAGGAAATCACAGACATCATATATATAGTAGCCCAATGTCTGTGTGACTGTAACGCTGAAACGCTGGCTGTTCCCTCTGGGCGGCGCTGTTCTCTCAGGGGTGCTGCATGGGGAGCGCGGGGCCCAAACGGCCGCTTGCTTCTATGCGGCGGCCCGGCTGGGCGGGGCAAACGTCGAAGGAGGGCGGGGAGGTGACGTACACACGCAGGGGGCGGGGCCTGGATGAGCGTGCATCCCTGACGGAGACAGAGGAGAGCGGAGAGAGTGAGAGGCAGGATGGGGAGAAAAGAAAGAGAGAGATGGAGAGAGAGACAGAGGCAGTAGGAGGAGGAGCGAGAGAAACAGAGACGGAGCGAGAGACCGGAGGCTCAGGAGAGAAGACCGACGTGGAGGAGAAACCTGAAAATCCCGTCTTATGATGGGTTAATTGGCTAGTTAGAGAAATAAAAGACTTAATATATCACCCAATCCAGCTCTCTGCCAGGAGAGCACTGTTCCTCACAGTAAATAACATGCAATCACCGAGCTACAATAGTGCCTAATAAAGCTGTTGATTCGCGCTGTTTCAGGTGAAGGAAAAGCACGAACAAGAAAGAACAAAAGTAAAGTCTCAAGGTGGGGGCATGGGATGGGATGAGAAAGCCAGCGAGAACAGGTTGCCGTGACAACATTGTTGCTGTCTCTGGGCCAGAGCCTCCCCAAATCCCTGGTTATTCTGATCGATTGCTGTTTGGATCTAACCAAATCTGAACGTTCTGAGACTTTTCAGTGAACTGGAAAAAGTTAGTTTCGGGTCTGTTCCAGCTCAAGGATTCAAATGTGAGTCTCTCAGATCCAAGGTGATTGTCATAACCACCAGCCTAATGGTTTGTGAGGGGCAGCAGCAGCAGCTTTTCCAGCAATGCTTTCTCACCAAATAAACTAATCATCTAAAAAACAAGGCGCTCAGTTTTACTGCCAGGACAAGGGGAGATATTTAGAAATGCATGGCCCGCTTTTTGCAAGGCCAGCTCCCTAGCCTGGCAACACCAAACGCTCCAAACACCATTCTGTGTACACAAAACTCTGCCAGTCTTTAATGTGTTTAATGTTTTCTCTCCCTCCCCGCCCCATTTCTTGAAACTTGTGCATTAAATGTAGGTCTTTGTTGCCTAGCAATGAGCCTATTCCAACCCCCTATTCTTCGCCTCCTGTCATAATCTGTTTGTGACACCACCATCAGTTGCTATGGAGATGGCTTGGGTGTGAAAAAAATCTTTCCAAGGCTTTTTATAAATTCCAATAAAGAATAAACAACAGAAGCAAACCGATTGCTAAGAACTAAAGTTGCTATGGGGAAAACGGGTCCGTCACTGGGTTCGGTTTCCTATTCGGTTACAGGTTTATTGTGTGACTTTAGGCAGGGTTCTGCGCCTCAGTTTCCCTTTTGTAACCTGGGGCTCATTACATTTCCCTTCTGTCCTGCCTATTTTGATTGTAAGCTCTTCAGAGCAGGGAACTTCCACCTGTTTGTAGTCCAATGGGATTGGGTTTCCAGGTGCTATTTTCATACTACTAATAATTTACGCCCCTCCAGGAAAGACACAACACAGACCTCATTTTTCAGTGTTTCCCAGTGGCTCTATTTCCCCTCCCCAAATGTTTTCTTCTCTAGCAATTTAGCTCTAAGGAAGGGACGTTTTGGCTCTAGGAGCATCACCAATGGGGCTGGGAATGTTTGATTCTAGAGCTGTGAACAACAGTGTAATGGACCATGGCCCTCAGTCAGCAACGTTCACTGCAACAGGGAAGTCAACCGAGTCACGAATCTACACCCACTTCGGATTCTCCGGTCATCACTACGCTGCATGCTTCAGCGTTGCGCAAATTCACGGTAACCGTGGTGCTAGAATTCCATGCATGTCCACACCGAAAGCCCACACTGCTACATACAAGCTGTAGGAAAATAACTCATGGCGGAGGGCAGGATCTTTCCAAAAACGTGAAAGGGATTTGGGCACAGAGGCGTTGCCATCAAATCCCTTAGGTGATTTCATAATCCTCTTCTTTAGCCTCTACACCTTGTTGAAATATCTCATTTCATCCAGCAACAGACAGTGGTACATACATATACCAGCCAGTCCGCTGTCCTCTTTTTAGCACCTACTGTTCTAGCCACATCCTTACACTGCACGGGGTTTATCAGAGCCCTAGCTTGGAACACGCTCCTGGCTGCCTTTAGATGCAGAATTCTCATGTTGTCTTATAGTGTAACCCATACACCTGCGCTCATAGGTTGTGTCTAGACTGGTCAGTTTTTCTGGAAAATCAGCCGCTTTTCCGGAAAAACTTGCCAGCTGTCTACACTGGCTGCTTGAATTTCTGCAAAAGCCCTGACTTCCTACTGTAAGAAATCAGTGCTTCTTGCGGAAATACTATGCCGCTCCCATTCGGGCAAAAGTCCTTTTGCGCAAAACTTTTGCACAAAAGGGCCAGTGTAGACAGCTGAGATTTGTTTTCCACAAAAAAGCCCCAATTGCAAAAATGGTGATCGGGGCTTTTTTGCAGAAAAGCACGTCTAGATTGGCCATGGACGCTTTTCCACAAAAAGTGCTTTTGCGGAAAAGCGTCCGTGCCAATCTAGACGCTCTGTTCCGAAAATGCTTTTAACGGAAAACTTTTCCATTAAAAGCATTTCCGGAAAATCATGCCAGTCTAGACACAGCCATAAGGTAGTGACTAAGGAATGATTGGTCACACCTGGCCTACAGAACAAAGTTATGCCGGCAGAATTGGGCTGGCTAGAAGTGTTAGCTAGGTCGGCAGAACCCTCACTGTAGCTCAGCTGACCGAAGTATTGGTCCTATGGAACCGGGCAGCTCAGTTAAGCTCTCTGTGCTGATTATAGACTTGAGGGTTAATTCAACTCAAAAAAAGCAAATGCCATCCTCAATCAGTCTAGTGCTCCACAAAGTCCTGCAGCTTAACGACAGTACAAGAGGTTTCAGAAGAAGGCGCGCAAAACCCCAAATAACCTACCAGCTGCAGCCTACAGATTGAATACAAGCCGTGCTATCTTTGCTTCCTAGATATGGAGCCCAGTTATATAGCCCAGATCAGGCTCTGTATCCAGAATCAACATCAAAGTTGAACTGAACTTTTTCAGATTTCAACAACAAAAAAAGTTCCGGAATTGTGTTGGGTTTTTGCTCAGCCACCTTTCTGGCTACCTTCAAAATCTACATGTTAGGGTCAGCTGCATATGAAATGCCCAGATCCTAAGGTGGGCACCATTATAAGGATGAGGAGCGGCTCAGCATCCCCAAATTTTGGGAAATATGCACCAGTAAAACTATGAGGAAATGCACCAAACAGGCTTCAGCCTGACCCCAAAAGCCTCACTCTCATGCATAGAGATGTACTCCCTTGTCTCATTCTGAGATACACAGCACCACATTGCTGGGGAACAAATCCATATCTGTTTCTTCACGCAACACACAGTCAACCTGTGGAACTCCTTGCCAGAGGATGTGTGAAGACCAGGACTTTAACAGGGCTCAAAAAAGAGCTAGATAAATTCATGGAGGGTCCATCAATGGCGATTAGCCAGGATGGGTAGTAATGGTGTCCCTAGCCTCTGTTTGTCAGAGGCTGAAAATAGATAATAGAGGAGGGATCAGTTGAAGATTCCCTGTTTTGTTCATTCCCTTTGGGTCCCCTGACATTGGCCACTGCTGGAAGACAGGACACTGGGTTAGATGAACCTTTGGTCTGACTCAGTATGGCTGTTCTTATGTAGCGTGTCAAAACTCTCACAGACACCAAGAGATTTAGGGGCAACAATTTCAGGAGGAATGAGGTGCCTAAA